GTGTGTGTGTGTGTGTGTGTGTGTGTGTGTGTGTGTGTGTGTGTGTGTGTGAGAGAGAGAGAGAGAGAGAGAGAGAGAGAGACAGGGACAGGGAGAGGGAGAGATTGAGAGAAAGAGATGTTTGTTGGTTTTTTAAAATCTTAAACATTAGCCCTCCTCCATGGTCTCCTTTCACTTACAATTTCCTTTTTCACCCAGATTTTACAAATATGTGTGCTGCCAAAAAAGCACAGTATTTCTCACTTTTATTTTTTGTTTTTTTTTCCCCACCAAATTTTTCTCACTTTGAGAAACACTATTTTTCATGTTTATTTCTATATAATTTTCTTTTCTTTTCTTTTTTTGTCAGTCATGGGGCTTGAACTCTGGACCTGGACGCTGTCCCTCAGCTCTTCAGCTCAAGGCTAGCACTCTACCACTTGAGCCACAGCACCACTTTCAGCTTTTTCTGTTTATGTGGTGCTAAGGAATCGAACCCAGGGCCTTGTGCATGCAAGGCAAGCGCTCTACCACTGAGCCACCTTCCCAGCCCCAAGAATTTTCTTTTTATTATTGTTATTTTGTTTTTGGTCAGTAGTGGGGCTTGAACTCAGGGCCTAGGTGCTATCCCTGAGCTTTTTTCACTAAGGGTAGTGCTCTACCACTATGAACCACAGCACCATTCCCTTCTTTTCTTTTTGAAAGAATACTTTCCAATGTACAGATTTATAGAGATAATCATACATTTATTCACTCCACAATTTATTGAGGCCCTACTATGTGTCAGATACATATGCCAGATTCACAAAATATCACAGCCATTAAAACAAAAGTTAATATTCTGATTGTGGAGCCAACATTCCAATAATAGAACACAATGAAGTGATGAACTCTGTCTTGCTGCCTTTGTTCTCTTCATATTTGCTTAACATTTTTAAAAGAAGTTAATGTCACAAATACAATTCAAGCCCTCTTGTTAACATCCAGTTCCCTCTTTTCTCTTTGTCATATGCTCTTGTCTTCTTGGTGTGCATTTCCATGCATGTTTTTCTAATATGTGTGTATATATACACTATATATATATAGTGCATATATGTATGTAAAATAGCTTTCATTTTTGCATGTTGTCACATTTCCTATAGACGGTAATGATGTTATTTCTGTCTATATTATACTTAGATGCATTTGTGTTGTACTTACACTTCCAGTACCTTCGTTCTGAATGCTATGTAATATTCCATTGAATGAATATATAACTTCACTCTCCTATTGATGGACACATAGATTAGGTTGTTCCTACTTTTTTGTCATTTTTATTGTTGATGATACTGTTTGTAATTACAGTGCTTCAATGAAGTTTTAAAATGTGTCTTGTGGTGCCAAAGATCAAACTCAGGGCCTTGCATGCTAGGCAAACACCTTACCTCTGAGCTGCATCTCCAGCCTTCATGAATATCATTATACATGTTCCTTTATGCACTTATGGAATAGCTTCTCTACCTAGGATTGAGCTGGTATCTGTTCCTTAAATAGTACAATTATTCTTCACATTGGCTGTATTTATCCCTTTTATATATAAATATAAAAACTATATTTACATATATCAGTATCTAACAGAATAGTTGTATTTGATTATATATTTGACCTGTCAATTTCCAGTAATTGTTACTCATGTGGTATAAAATGAATGTTGAGAATTATCAATCCATTCACCTTCATCATTGTCTAATCATGGTTCTTCCCTGGGGGACAGCAGTTTGAGAATTAGGCCCTAATCTCAAACTCTATTGGAGTCTAAGTATAGTATGGAACAGGGAAAATCTGGTTAAGTATATTTAAGTAGTTACAACTGGGCTTAGTTCACTTTACGAGAAGTTTAGTATAGCTAAGAGAATAAAATATTAATATTCATGTCTTAACATATTTGTCATTTGTTTCTCATCCCCAAAATAGATTAGTCTATATTGCCAAAGTAAGCAATTGTCTTGAATTTCCTAAGGGTTAGAAAGACAAAATTAGAGTGTTGTTCAAAAATAATTGACTCCCTGATCTCCACCCCCACTACCACAATCTAAATAAATTTGTTTTACTTTGTAAAAACAACAAAACTTTAAAATTAGGTCCTGTTACTATTTTATATATTTTTTATGTTTCCCTCTCTTCATTTGCATGGAATGTTTATTGGTCCAGGCTCCTCATAGCCACTGAGCAGCTATGTAGCCTGAGGTCCTCAAGAGTCACTTCCACACCCAGAATGCTGGGTTCAGACCTTGGCCTTTCCTCCTTCTGAGTGGTGCTTTGGTGTCTTGGTGTGTAAGGTGGAGCAATGAGCTGGGCAGCTGTGGCTTGCACCTGTATTCCTAGATATCCAGAAGGCTAAGATGGGAGGATTGAGGGTCAAAGCCAGCCCAGGCAGGATGAGATTCTTATCTCCAATTATCTACCAGAAAAAACAGACAGACACAAAAGCTCAGTGATAGTGCCCAGATTTCAAGCCCCATGACTGGCAAGAAAAATAAATAAATAAATAAATGGAAACAATGGTAGTATGAAGCTCATAGAATAGTTCTGAAGATTAAAGCAGTAACTAGTTCATAGTCTTTGGAATTTAAGGCATAGTCTTTGGGATTTAAGGCATACACAGCCAGAAAAGAGGGTAATACATTTTTGAAAGCCAAAGTAATACATAAGAACCCAAGTGTGTAGAGGTCTAAATTTGCTAGAGATGTATCCACACACCCATACCCACACACATCTAAATTAATTAGAACAAGTGCCCTTTTATACCTTCCCCAAGGGTTTGGATGTGGAATTCTCTGAAGGCTTAATGTAGATTACCTTTACCCCAACACAGTCTTAGATATTAAGCCTTATGAATTCCAGGGAATCTGGTGACCTTTATTCCAAGGTTATATGGTATAAATTTTAATAACAGTTCATGAGAAATTCAGGATTATGTTAAGTAGCCATCCAAATAAGAAAGAATGAATGGAGAGCTTATTATGTAGAAGGGCATTATTTGAGCTCTTGATGAGTTATTCAAACCAAGCCCCTGCTAAATGTCTCCATGGTGACCAGCAATGTGGTGCCTGACAGTTGGTAGGAATCCAGTAAGTATAGATAGATTTTAATGTAGGTTCCTGAAAAATAAAGCAAGCCAAATTTGCTGAGGTTGATTAAGGATTAAAATGAGGTTTAAAAGCCAGGCACCAGTGGCTTATGCCTGTAATCCTAGCTACTCAGGAGGCTGAGAGGATAAAAGTTCAAAGCCGGTCTGGGCAGGAAAGTCTACAAGACTTATCTCCAATTAATCCCAGAAAAAGCCAGAAGCGGCACTGTGGCTCAAGTGGTAGAGTTTTAACTTGAGCAAAAAGAGCTCAAGGACAACGCCCAGACCCAGAGACCAAGCCTCAGGACCAGCAGGGGGGGAAAAACATTTTAAATAACAAGGAACATTTGAAAAGGATGATGGCCACATTTTCCCCCCTATAACCTTATTTTCAGCTTTCATAGAAAACTTAGTTTGTACCTACAATCTGTAAGGCATAGATGAGCATTTTATATAACATAGAAACCCTTATTTAAAATGCCTTGTTGCTGGACACCAGTAGTTCACACCTGTAATCCTAGCTATTCAGGAGGCTGAGATCTGAGGATCACAATTCAATGCCAGCCCAGGCAGGAAAGTCCATGAGACTTTTATCTCCAATTAACTACCAAAAAACCAGAAGTAGTGCTGTGTGTGGCTCAAGCAGTAGGGTGTTTGCCTTGAACTGAAAAGCTCAGGGACAGCACCCAGGCCCAGAATTCAAGCCCCACAACTCCCCCCCCCCCAAAAAAAAAGCCTTGTATTTTTTGCATTCCACTTCTTAGTTTATAAATCTTTGTAGAGATTGATGGAAATAATTATTTTATAACTTACTATGAACTTGGAGCTATGTTAAATGCTTTACCTATATCGTTTTAAGAGTCAGTCAACTCCTACTTTATAGCTTTCCTTATGCCTGTTTTACTCAAGGATACAAGGAAGTAAGTTAAGTGACTTTCCCAAGATTATAGCATCCCTATGTCAGAGTGGGCTGTAGGGCATATTATGCACAAAAAGACTTGACACATAAGATGAGCAAGAACAAAACCAGAAATATACTGCAGGCCTTCTCCAAGTCCAGTCCTGCATCATCCCTCCATTTCTTTGGCCAGAAAAAATCCTCCATTTAACCAAACCAGCCTTGAAAGCATGCTTTCTGCAGACTAGTTTATTACCAATGGATGTTCAGCAGCTCTGGTATACTTATAAACAAGACACTTTATTACACTGCCTAGGTGTTTAACAATATCTAATTCACTCAGCAAACGTAACAACACACTGCAGTTAGGCCCAGCTAGAGGAAGGCCTCCTGGAGTGGAAGCCCAGCCACTTCATGGGCTGAGACACATACCAGACCCTTTCGTCTCTTCAGAATCTGCTTAGGCCCAGGCTCCCACCTGCCCAGTAACCTGCAGCTCTCTGCTTTTCTGCAGTCATCCACATCATTGTCCCTGGCCCAAATGATTTGTAGAATATGCAAAGTCTTCATTTAAGTTTGGAAAACCAACCAGCGCTGGCTCCACTGGAAAATTGGAAGCTACATCCTTAGCTGGTGCTGTGGTGTGTGTTGACATGGAAAGGATTGCTTTGGCTGCAGTGCCATGACCTGGACCTAAGTCCATGTCAGCCACTCCGTGCTATCCACCTGGCACTGATGTGAGGAACATCAAGGCTCGCTTATGGAACAAGTGGTCACTCACACCTTCCGTCTTCTCCAGCAGCCATAGTCACATCGATGACCATTTGGTATGGCTTGAGAAACTCTATCAAGAGCTCAAATAATTCATTTATTAATAATGAGCTTTTCATTCACCCTCATTTGTATGGCTATTCAACATCTTAAACAAATGAGAGCTGGAGTCCACAGATTATTTTAGTGGTCAGAAGGAAAAAAAAATGAGCCCCATGGACATAGTGGTGAGCCTGTTTGCCCTCAGTGTGACTTTTAATTTTCTCCTTTCCTTTCCTTTCCTTTTCTTTCTTTCTTTCTTTCTTTCTTTCTTTCTTTCTTTCTTTTTTTCTTTCTTTCTTCCTTCTTTCCTTGTTTCTCTCTCTCTTTCTCTCTGTCTCTCTCTCTCCCTCCCTCCCTCCTTTTTTCTTCTTTTCCTTTCTTTTCTTTTTTTGCTAGTCCTGGGGCTTGAACTCTGGGCCTGAGTGCTGTCCCTGAGCTCCTTTTGCTCAAGGCTAGCACTCTACCACGTGAGCTACAATGCCACTTATGGCTTTTTCTGTGATTAACTGGAGATAAGAGTCTCATGGACTTTACTGCCTGGGCTGTCTTTGAACCACAATTCTCAGATCTCAGCCTCCTGAGTAGCTAGGATTACAAGCATGAGCCACCATCGACCAGCTATTAATTTCTTTTATTAGTGTATTCCTATCTTCTTAAATAATATTCTTAAAAAATATATCTTCTTTAAAAAACATTCCTATCTTCTTAAATAATCTGAAAAGCTTTTTCCCACTAAATAACTCTTTATGTTTAATTATGTAAAGTAGATTTGTTATATAAATATGTCCATAGTTTATATAAATCCACAAAGCTTGGAGAATTAAATCCACACTGGTCCATAATTAAGCACTGCTTTCTGCCATTTCTTTTATAGTTTGTAATAGTTAGTGACCCTATTTCCAATGCACAGTAGCAACATATGAATAATAGCTACCGTATATTAGATGGCACAGATACAGAACAATTAAATCATTACATACATTTCTATTGGATAGCACTGTACTAAACAACATGTAAGATCTGCTCTACTTAAAAACTTGATGCTAGGCTGCTATGGCTGTGTGGTAAGTGCAATGGTAGAGTGCTTGCCTCATATGCACAAAGCCTTGGGTTTAGTCCCCAACATCATGGCAAAAATCAAAACAAGACAAAAACCTGATGCAGAGCAAGTCTAGTTTAAGGAGATTTACTGAGTACACATTAGATGTCTTTTGGAATCTGTGGATCAAATAGTAAATTAATTTTAGCTTTGAGATTAATATATACTCAGAACCTTCCAGCCACCTTTGTTTCTGTCTGTCTTCTACCCATCACCCACACTTAGTAAGCAGTACCAGAATAGAGAAAAGAAACAGGAAGGAAACTCGTCTGTGTGTATAATTAACATTCATGAATGCTAATGTTTTTTCCCTTCTGTCTTTTCAGGTCCTTGAGGCCACCCGGGTTAATAGAAGAAAGAGTGCTCTGGCCTTGCGCTGGGAGGCAGGGATCTATGCCAACCAGGAGGAAGAGGACAACGAGTAAACTTTCAGCCCAGGAAACTTCTTTGGTGCTTGGGATACCAAGAAACCAAGACATGATCAAATCAAAGCATTTTAATGGACTCTTTATTAAAATGCACACAAACTCAGCAATCCTTATGTAGATCAGAAGCTGCAATACACAATAATGAAAAAAATAATAATCAAAAAGGAAGTCAATCCACCCATCAAACTCTTGAGACCTAGGAATCAGCAGAGAAAGGATTTCTTTGTGACTCAAGAAGAAACCTCTGGATTGGGCCCCGTCCACAATTGATCCAAAAGGACAGAGACATCACAAGCAAATCAATCTAATTGCTGCCGGCAGAACCAAGACCAGCCTGGCAGGGTAAAGACAGAGAACAATGGCAAAAGGCCACCAGGAGGGCAGTAGGTCCCCAGCTGGTGTAGTTGACATGGTGTAGGCCATTTCTCTGTTTCTTTCTGACCCTTGCTCTTGACACCAGAGGTGTTGGGTTGACTCCATTTTCTCCAGCAGCCATAAAATGTGTTTCTCTCCATCATGCCCAAGAGGCAGTTATGATTCAATCTCAACTTGCATCTAATTATTTCTAATTGGGAGCAATGAATGGTTTCAGTACATAAAATCTATACCAGGAGGTTGAGAAAGGTGGAAGAGAAAGCCAAACCAAATGGATTATTTTAGCTTTAGGATCTTTCGTGTCTGCATTTACTATTGACTGATCTGCAGTTTAGAACACATTTCCACAGTTTTGTTTCTTCATAGGAAAACTATATTTAGTGGGCAACATCTATTTTTATGATGGGATGGGGGAAATAGAAACATGGGTAAAGTCTATACACATTGAACAGCTTGGTTCAAGATGGCAGGGGTATTTTTAGAGTGGCAATAATTGAAGACAAAAAGGGGGGGAAACTCTGCCTTGGAGAGGTAGATGGCCAGAAGTAAAGAGGTGTTTATAGCTATTTTGTATTATAAAGTGGGCCTTAGAAGTAGTAGGGAGGAAGGATCAGTTGTTTGGGATCTATCAGAAAGGAAGTATATAAATGTCATGGAGGTAGAGAGAGAAAAATGGAGGGAGGGGGAAAGAGTAGGAAAATAAGAAAGTAAGATTATTTTTGCTGAGCAACCAGTGTTTTTTCAGAACGATAAAGAGAAAACTATAGAATAGAAATTTAAGTGCAGGCTTGGAATCAGCTACAAATCCTAAAGATGGTGTGTGTGTGTGTGTGTGTGTGTGTACACATACACCTTTGTGTGTTTGTGTGGAATGCGTTCAAGAATAAGAGTGAATGTGTGTGTGTGTGTGTGTGAGAGAGAGAGAGAGAGAAAATTCCAGATTGATCGTGACATAGGGGTGTACAGTTATTTCCTCCAAAGCTGTCTACTAGCTTCAGGAGCAAGTGAGAATTTCTTTTTTATGAAAAGGGATATAACGGCACTGAGCTGATGCAGTATTTATAATATTAAGTTGACCTAACATGGTATTTGCATGAGTCACAATTGCAGAGTTTTGAGCAGTTTTGTAGCTTGACATTTAGGAACATATCCTATTTATTCCATGCTTTATATTCATGCTTAGTCTACTAGAGAGGATGCCAGCTTTACTTGTTCTGTCTTTTAAAGCAATATTATAAGGGCGTTCACTTAACTGGGTGCCCTAAATTTCTGGATGAGAAATGTTCTATTTCTGATCACGAGGGGGAATAAATACCTAACAAGCCTTCATTATTTTTCCTTTGTTTTAAAACTATGGTTTAAGAAAAGCAATAATTAAATTAGACCTCACTATAATTCATTTGTTTTCATAGTATGTCATAAACTGTAATATGTTATTCAAATAAGTTGCAATTCCACAAAACGTATATGTAGTGCTATACACATTATGTTGCTTTTTTATTAGACGAGTGTTGACTTCGGGTGGGAGAGAAAGCGTATTCGCAGACCAGTGGTGGGCACAAGATCAAAAGATGGGATTGTACAATCCTTTAAAATGGTCCAGGGAGACTGAAGTGAAGAGCCAAACTTTGCAGATGATAGCTAAAGTAGCACATGGCAATTTTTAGATGATTTATCATCCTCCCAGCCTGAAGGTGGAACAGTCAACAGAATATTAGCCATTGATGACACAAAGCAAATAAGTTCCCTGCTGTAAGGAATTCATTTTCTAGTGCTGGAGGCTGCTATAGAGACAAACATTCCCAGAAAAAATGGCATCTTGTCTGGAGGCAGATCGGAACTCCTGCTTCCTCGGAGTGTCTGAGAAAGGAGGACCATTTTTGTCTATGAATTTCCAGTTGGAGGTTCCAGATGTCTGGACTGAGGTCCTCATGAGGAGAGGTGTTCCCAGGAGAGACACATCAGTATAAGAACAGAGGAGGCAACAGCATCCTAGCCCCAGGCACAGCACCTGTTAGATGGCTAGAGAGTAGTCTGGTTCTGTGGGCTGCTTTGTGTGGAGGCTTCGTGTTTTCTGAAAGGATCTATTTGGGACTGTAGGCATGGAGTTTTGTTTCTGTTTGGAAGGGGCTATAAACTCATGGGAGGGAAAGCCATGGTTGTGGAGAAGATAGTTTACAGCCAAGAGGAAAGCTTAGGTCACAAAACTCAGGCAGTCACTTGGTAAGGCAGATGATTAAGTACACTTGACTACAGTTGATTGTCTTCCTTAAGGAATAACAGTTTCAGAGCTGGAGTCTTTTGGGCCACACTGCAGGTATAGATGAGGAAATCAATTTGGTTTCTGTGAATTTTAACTATGAGTTCCTCTACTACCATCTTTTGGAGTTCTCCTACATGCCTTCGGACTACTTTCTAATTTCCTTACCCACCTCACTGATTATCCTGTAAATTACAGTTCCCTAGGGTATGCCAGACTTTCTCTGTGCTCTTGAGTTTTGCTCATTCAAGAAACACCAGGCCGTCACTTTGGACACAGCACTGTGCTAGGCTCTAGGATCCTGCAGGAGCCCCTGTAACCTTTTAAACATAGCGCAAGGAGCCCTGGTGGAAGGTCATTCCTGCTTCATGAACCAAGAGGAAGAGGCTCATGAACAACTTTGCCTCTGAAGCTCTGTCCACCCTCAACCAGCACACATTGATAACAGATGTTTAGATTCTTAGTGATATTAAAAACCTTCCTGAAAGTGTCCCATGCTGCTGCATTTATAGACGTACACTTTCCTCTGAAGTGGACTAAGTACTGACAGGCCTTGCCTTTCTCATGCAGAAATTATGGAAACGGGGTCTGTCCATGGTAGGAGGTCTACTTGGATGGCACATGTAATTTCCTTGCCTCTGTGTACCTATGCATGCTGCCCATCCTCAGCCATGGCATAGAAGCAGTATATAGAGCAGTGTCCACACACACACACACACACACACACACACACACACACACCACACAAAGCATAACAAGGGACACTAAAACAGTGTTGACTCTTATCTCTAAAGACATTTTTTTTCCAGTTGAAGGATGAACTTAACTTAAGCATATATTGAAAAAAAATAGCCTAAGTGTTTAGAGATGGTGAATATATCCAGTTTTAGTTTCAAAACCAATTTCCTGAATTCTAAGTATTCAGTAAGCTGCCAATTTTGATCTTGTGTTGCTCTTTACCCACATGAGTTTTTTTCTTTGTTTCTTTTTATTATTATTATTAATTAGAGGAGGGGAGGGGGAGGGAGAAGCAGCAATACTGTGTTTAAAAATTATAATCTGTATCTGGCTTTCCTATGTATGTTAACCACTTAAATGTTATTATTATCCTGCTTTGGTTTTATAGTGATTGTGAAGCATTCGATGCAAGTATACAGTTATTTTCTCATTAAAACCTGATGTGTGTGTTGCATTTTTTTAATAAAGGATGGCTGCTCGTTTGACTGTGGGAGGCGGTTGAAAGGTTGGGCACATTGTGCATGGCATACCTATGGCTTCTACCCCTCCATCGTGGCAGTTCCTCACATGGAACAAAAGAACAATCCTGAGAGTAGCAGACTGATCCCAGTATCCTGTTCTCAGTGTCTATATGCTGTGACAATCCAGAAACTTCTGATGGGACTATCAGAAATGAGTCAAGTGCCTCTTGATATGTTTTTTGTTTGGTCAGTTGTGAGGCTTGAACTCAGTACCTAGGTGCTGCCCCTGAGCTTTTACACTCAAAGCTAGTGCTCTACGACTTTGAGCCACAGCACCACTTCCAATCAGGCTGGCTTTGAACCACAGTCCTCATATCTCAGCCTCCTAAGTAGCTAGGATTACAGGTGTGAGCCACCAGTGCCTGGCTTTATTTTTTATTACATTTTGAGGATCTGTATTCAGACTTTAAAGGACAAATAACACAGCATCGTCAGGAAACTCCCCAGTCTTTGCCTCTCCTTTCATATTCTCTGTCAGTCTCCAGCCCCGAACCTTGGCTCCTGTACTTTCTTGCTGATTCTACTTGGTGATTCTCCAGGTTTCCCCGCCCCCCCCCCCCGATTTCCAGCCATATTTCCTTGAACTACTGAAGATGTCCTATGGTACCCTGTCATGAATGGCATCTTCCAGTCCTTAGGTGGTAAAGAATTCTGAATTGGAGAGGCTGAATGCAGTTGACAGTGATCTTTGAACCCCCTCTCTGAATCCATGGGTCCCCATATCTGTGGATGCAACCAACTGCCAATTGAAATTTTTCAGAAAAAGAAAAGTTCTATTGAGCCTAGGTAGACTTTTTTCCCCCCTGTCATTTCCTAAACGAAATGGTGAGCAGAATGAACCAGTCATCCCTATTGCCCAAAGAGAATGGGAAGTGACTGCAAATTAGCTGAGGGAACTGTGTTAAAGTTAAGTTATGGTGAGGTTAGAGGTGCTGGGTTGCAGAGCGAAGATACGAGGTGACTGGAGCAAAGCCAGACTGGGCAAGAGATGAGCCTGCGGCTCAATAACACCCGTGCTGTGATCCGTGCCAGGTTAGGACCCGGTACCTGGGTCCTGGCCCTGCCCCACAGAATCCAGTGGCCCCAGCTGCACTCACGGGACCCTGCTCAGGCTCTCATGACCTTTGGGAAGGTGGCCGTGTGTTTGTGGAAGGGGCGGAGTCTTCTGATGAGGCTCCAAAACATCCACACCATGATGTGATGCCAGAGAACCTGGTACTTAATGCATCCTTGACATTTCCTTCCAGGTTGTTGACATGGAACAGCGGGTGAGACAACTTGTCAGCAGAACAGTTCTACATAGAGTGTCACAGGTAAGGGCTCCCAAAGGGCCTTTCCAGAAAGCCAAGCCTTGTGAGATAGAAGGGTCAGCCTTGAGAGTCATTTGAACTTGGCCTAGAACCAGCATCAGTGGGTAGAAACTGTACTAGGTGGGGCATAGGGAAAACATAGTTCACGGCGTACCTTCATCAGTGCCAAAAACAACACGTTGGAGAGAGACACTCAAGAAGCAATGTGTGCAGAGTCTCGTGTCCAAAACAAATTTCAGGTATCCAGGGAGCCCTTTACCTCCAAGAAGGTTGGCCAAGACTTTGTAGTGGGCTCAGAACTTCTCTAGCAGCAGTTTATGTGCATCAGGAAGGCAAGCAACACGGGTGAGAGTGCACTAGCTTTTCCCAGTGTAAAACAAGTCAGTGCAATTGGGAAAAATACAACTTTCAACTGTCAATAGGCACCAGAAAGTTTCAGTAAACCCATGTTCCATGGGGGGGGGGGGGCGGGGAGTCCTTTAGTACAAGCTGTAGCCTTAGTGGCTGTCCAAGAGTGTACACCTCAGGAAAGTCTTGGGTAAATAGCGAATGTGGGAAATCACAGTCAGTGTGATACATGTGAAAAATTATTCAGTAATGACCTAACTCTTTTTAAAAATTATTGCTTTGGGGCTGGGAAGGTGGCTCAGTGGTAGAGTGCTTGCCTTGCATGCCTGAGGCCCTGGGTTCGATTCCTCAGCACCACATAAGCAAAAAGAAAAAAGCCGGAAGTGGTGCTGTGGCTCCAGAGGTAGAGCGCTAGCCTTGAGCTGAAGAGCTGAGGGACAGCACCCAGGCCCAGAGTTCAGGCCCCACGACCGGACCAAAAAAATAAAAATGAAAATTATTGCTTTTATAAAGGTGATGTGCAGAGGGGTTACAGTTAAGTTACATAAATCAGGTAAAGAATACATTTCTTTTTGGACAATGTCTCCCCTTCCCTCCCTCTCTCACAGTTTTTTCCTCCTGTCCACATCCACAAGCTGTAGAGTTCATTTTCAACATGTTGTCTAGTCAGTACCACAGCTGGATGTTGATGGGTGGGGGGGGGGGCGTTGAACTGGGGCCTGGGCATTGTCCCTGGGCTCTTGCTCTCTACCACTTTGAGCCACAGCACCTCTTCTGGTTTTCTGGTGGTTAATTGGAGTCAAGAGCCTCATGGACTTTCCTGCTATCAGTAACCACTTCGGAGATTGTTCTTGCTTTTTACTACATCTTGTCGCTTGGCTCTCATGTTCAGAGAACATGCAATTAATTTTGTGGCACCCACCCATATGGAAATCCTTCATTCTAGCTCTACCCTGGTTATACACTAAAGAGTTCACACTGGAACAGTCTTGAGTCCACTGAGTGTGGGAAATCGTTCAGGCATAACAAAGCTCTAGCATTGTTACACATCAGTGAGTTCACAGTGGAAAAAAGCTTTGAATGCCATGAATGTGTGAAGTCCTTTACCCTCAGCTCCAATTGCTGAAACACCAGAATGTTCACAGGGAAAAAGACTGTTTTATAACACAGCGTGCTGTGCACTGCGATATATCCCTGCCTAATGTTCAGTTCTGCTGGGTGCTGTGGCTTGGTGGGAGTTGGCACGGGGGGCAGGGGGACCCAACACTTAATTTCCTATGTGTCTGTGTTTGTAGATAGAGTCTTGAAGAAAGTAAATATGGTTGGATGAGGACATAAGAGTGGAACACTAGGGCTGGGAAGGTGGCTCAGTGGTAGAGTGCTTGCCTTGCATGCATGAGGCCCTGGGTTCGATTCCTCAGTACTACATTCACAGAAAAAGCCAGAAGTGGCACTGTGGCTCAAGTGGTAGAGCACTAGCCTTGAGCAAAAACAAGCTCAGAGACAGTGCCTAGGTCCAGAATTCAAGCACCAGGACTGGGGGGAAAAAGAGTGGAACACTAATCCAATATAACAGATGTTCTTGTAAGAGACACCAGAGTATTCTTCACATTTACAGAACAAAGACAATCCATCAACCCAAGAAAATGCAAGTGAGGGCCAGCACACATACCAGAACCTGATCATGCTGCTGTCCCAAACTTAGAATTTCACCACCTAGGACTGTGATCAAATAATTTTCTTAGCTGGGCACTAGTGCTCACACATGAAATCCTAGCTACTCAGGAGGCTGACATCTGAGGACCAAGGTTCAAAGACAGCCCAAGCAGGAAAGTCCATGTGAGACTCTTATCTCCAATTAACTATTCAAAGACCAGAAGTGGTGCGTGCTGTGGTTCTAAGTGGTAGAGCACTAACCTTGAGCCAAAGAGCTTGGGCACAATGCCCAAGCCCTGAGTTCAAGCCCCACAACCAACACACACAATATATAAGCCAACAAAATCACAGTGATGATTGTCCGACTCCAAATTTACTTAAAAAATCATTAAAATCTTACATTTAAAAAGGACGTATCATTATCTAAATTATCCCATAGTAAAGCTCTGGGGAAGAAGGGGAGATAGGCCAGTGGGGTGAGTCAGAAAACAAAGGCAGCAGAGTGAGTGTTTACAGAAAGAGGCCAAAGAGGCTACACAGTTTCATCTAGAACATGAGAGGGAAAGAGGCCTCCCCATGCACATGGCCTCCAGCCTGTCGGCTAAGAAGGAAGCATGCCTTTACTCTCTGGATGCCTGTCAGGAGCCAGAGACAGGGCTGCTGTGGTGGGCTATGGACTCAGGGTCCTGAATCTGATGGGCTTACTTAAGTGTTAAAGTGTGTACATCGATGTGCTGAATGCTCGGGCTGTGAAAACCCCACTGTGAAGGAGTTTACTACAGGGGATGGCACAAGAAGCCCACGACAGTCCAGCCAGAGGTGATCTTTTCAAGATTCTTACAGAGCAGGCTTTTAACAGCAAACAGGCTCACGGACCTGTGATGGAGGTTATCAGTGGAGATGGATGGGTACTCTGTCTACTGCCGTGAGCCTATTTATTTCCCCTCCTTCTTGTTTGTGGCAAAGAGATGGTTTGGAACAGGTAGAACAGGAAGATTAGTTGGAAGCATTGGCCATTCACAATGGGATTCTTGAGTAGTGAGAAACTCCATTATCCCTCTCTGCACATTCCCTATCATAAATTCAGACTCACGCTGGGGACACAGAGAATAAATGGGGAATTGGGAGTGAGACTTGCAGAGGTTTTTGCTGTTTTACATGCTGGAAAGAAATGAAGTCTAGGAAATGCCTAGAGGAGATGCCACACTGATGATTTCTGAGTGTTGCATGAGCATTCAGGTGTTATCTCTGAGAGGGAGCATAATCGCACAGTGCAGATGGTGGTATTCTGCCAAGGTACTGTGCTCTCCATGTCGACTAACCTGGTTGGGAGAGTTCTTCAGATTTTTCAAGTTCACAAATGGTAGACTTGAAACAACTGGAAAACAAAATTCACAAATCTCCCTTCCATTGTTTTGTCTCTGCCCACTCATTTCAAGAACATTCTGTCTTTTAGCAGCCTCTG